GATGAGATCTCTATAAATGGGTCCCTCTATTATGAGATGTCTACTTCCTCTAGGTTGATATGAATTGTGTAACTAGCTTAGTGGATCAGTTCCTAGTGTAACGAGCTTAATGGACCAGTTCTTAGTGTAACGAACTTATCCGATCAGTTCCTAGTTCCTAATTTAATGAGCTTAACGGACCAGTTCCTAGTGTAACGAGGTTCACGGATCAGTTCCTAGTTTAACGAGCTTAATGGATAAGTTCCTAGTCTGATGAGCTTAACATATAGTTGCGAGTGTAACGAGCTTAACAAATCAGTTCCTAGTGTAACTAACTTAACAAATCAGTTCCAAGTGTAACGAGCCTAACAGATCAGTTCCTAGTGTAACAAGTGATCATGTCTAATATATTTAGTAAGATGAGGTAATCCAGAGTGTTAACAATCATTTCCTAGTGTAATGAGCTTAATGAATCAGTTCCTAGTATAACGAGCTTAACGGACCAGTTACTAGTGTATCGAGATTAACAGATCAATTCCTAATTAACGAAGCAGTTCCTAGTGTAACAAGCTTATTGATAATGTCTATATATTATAGTAAGTAAGATGAGGTAATCCATAGTGTTAGCAATAAGTTTACATGTATGCCTTGTTTGGCTCATTTACAGTGATTGCAGTGTGTAGTCACTAGGCCCACTAGAAAAAGATAAACTCATTAGGAAGTGCTGACATCTAGAAAGCATATAGGAAAATACCAATTATTGGTAGCGACTTAGTTCTGATTATGTTTTATATGCAGATGCAAGAGTTTCTTGTAAGGTTACTTGTTTGAAATTTAGTGCCAATGTTCTTTCCTAGGAAGTCATTTGATTTGCCATCTCCATGTGTCTCTTGATTTTAATTTAATTGTCCTCTAATTGTTCATATGGTTATCATTTAATCTGATTAGATGACGGCTCTTGTTTCCTAGTGGATCATTTTACCATGACCTAAAAGATAGAAGCTGAAGTTCTTTAGGTTATCTCGTGGATGAGCTTATGGGATGACACTGGGTTGCTGTTGTTGTAATATGGTGTTTAGTTGATGTATATAGCTCTTTGAATCTGCAGGATGGCAAACTGGTGCCGCAAATGCATATACTTGAAACCAAAATTGGAAAAACTGGCTGCTGACTACTTCCCAAGGTTGTGCTCTCATGCATTTCCCTTCAGATATAGCACATTGCAATAAAAAGCTTTACACCTTAAGTGTCTACTTTTGTTGCACTTACTATTGATTCATTTAGGATTTGCAAGCAGCATTTGTGATACTCTCTGATCAACTTCCGCACTACTCTTCAAACTTTTCTATATCTGTCAGAGATATTTCAAAACTTTAGATTCTTGTGAAATTTCTTTGTTTAGAGACGACTCGTATCTCATAAGCATTTTGAGAAGGGTTAGGTACTCTGAATTTTGTAGTTCTTTATTTACCTCCTGAAAGACCCAATAATAGATTGGTGAACAGTTCTTATGTATGGGGAAGACAGTCCAGGAGCTCTCTGATTAACAGACGAGACCTTTTGGCATAATATTAGAATTAGTCCCCGTGATTTAGATAGCAGGGAAGGTTTGAGTACACTAAAATTGCTTGAGTTCATAAACTGGATTAGATGGTTGCTGTTACTCCTGAAAGTAGATTACAAAAATCAATTTATAACTATAGATTGCAGCAGGAAGTTGCTTGAGTACTTAGGAATGCATTGTTACATCAATTGCTTGAGCACGAAGAGTTTTAGTTGAATTTGGGTACTGATCCAAATCTTTTACCATCTTAATGTCCCAGAACACGCTTTTACTCTGTTGATGTCAATAATGTTCCACACAAGCTTGTGGTTCGCGCTGGAGTAACTGTAAGGGTTTCTTTCTCCCAACACCTTCCATATGTTTAATGTCTTTTTGCTATATGATTGTTAACTGCTAAACATGTAAAACTTATAAAATTATCTCAAGCACGTGAGACTATTGTAACACCATCTTTGCAACATCCTCTGATGAAAACATAAAAATTCGTATTCCTTTCCAGACTTGTCAATGATAGGTAAACCAATCCTATAATAATTTTTCTTTAAGTAACAGTAGGGTCAAGCCAACTTGCATGCACTTCAATTAATCCAACGACTGGTGCATTGTATCCGATCAGTACATGCTATCTGTCAGGTCGGATACCTAACCTGATATTCTTTTCTGTAAGTAGATAAAATTGCAGTATAATTGCATAGGAGGTAGATAGGTTACCCGCACAATAGATGCGGTACTTTTGTTTTTGTAAATAGGTAGTATGAATTGATGCAGACAATGGCTAGAGAATTATAATTAGGATGATGCGGCATGGGTGCCTCTGAAAGTTTAAGAAGTGTGTTTAGAAAATATCAGGCGTGCTGCACTAAGGCTGTGCCTAGTGAACAATGAAGTGTATTAAGAATCACGAGTTCTCAGGTTCAAATACGCCAGCAGAGACCAAAACTCTGTAGGTGATTCTTCCCATTTGTCTTAGCCTTGTCTAGATGGACAGAGTTATCTGGACACCACGGTCATTAAAAAAATGTTGGACATGCACATGATTTCCGAAGTATAGCTTTATCCCTTGGTCGTTTAAGTAGGCCTTTCATTTTCGGGCCATCCGGCAGAGCATGAAAGATGATTTCACCCCATAATAAACATTAACTTCATATGTACAGCTAGCATGCAACAGTCATACAATGCACAAGTCCTTTACTTGCTAAAAGACGTGTTGCTACTTGAAACACTCTTTTTCTTTCATAAAGTGCTGCTGTTCTTTCATTCGTAGAGAGTAATATTGTTCTTATTTGATTAGTTAAAGGAAATTTTGTCGTTTGAATTATTGATAATACATTTAATGATGATAAATTCTACTTTTCATGTGTCCAAATACGTGTGGTGACGAAACCTAAACAGAAAATGCCGACCATACAGGTAACAAGCACTACCTACTTAGCTTCTCGATAGCTAATTCTGCTCTTATCTGGTTTTAGCTTCTATGCTTTTACTCTTTTCATGGTAAAAACATAGTGTAAATGTGATTTCTCTGTAGTTATGGAGGGATGGGAAGAAACAAGCGGAAGTAATTGGCGGCCACAAAGCATATGTAGTCGTTAGTGAGGTACGCGATATGATTGAAAATGAAGATAATTTGTGACTTGAAGACATATCCTATACTTCCATTAGAATCCATTTTCCCAGTTTTGTTCTGGTTCATATCCTATATACATTTACTTCAGATGTACTTTTGAAAAGGTAAAATATACACACAGATTGATTTTGTTTTATTTTTTTGAAACACTCAAAGAGGAAAATGTTTATTTCTTTTTCTGTATCCTGTACATTTATCGAAAACAGCAGGTCCTCAAATGTCCATTTATGATATGTACTAATTATTGTTTCTTTTCTCCATTGTTTTCGGCATGACTTATTCAGTACTGTATTTCCTTGTCGTACTTTTTCTTATTACTTGGACCGAGGATCCGTTGAAAAACAAACTTTCAACCTTCATAAAGTAGGAGTAAGGCTGGATGAACTTTTTATTATATGTACTAATTATAGTTCTTTTCGGCATGACTTATTCAGTACTGTATTTCCTTGTGGTACTTTTTTTTATTACTTGGACCGATGGTCCGTTGAAAACAACCTATCAACCTTCATAAAGTAGGAGTAAGAGTGGATGAACTTCGTGGATAACAAACGAGTGAGGTTGAGACTGACAGTGACAATTAGGGTTTGTAGATACACAAATATATGTAATATGTGTATATCGCGAAATTACGTAATTTTTCCATGTTCTGTAATTATTTAAAAGTATCAGTATAAAAAGTAACAAGGGAGTAAAATTAGCTATTAAAAGTAATTTCCCATAAAAAGATGGAAATTTTGTATAGTGTTATTTGTACTTAGATTTACAAAACATAGTGAATTTTGCTTAATTACAAAATTTATCAGATTACATTGTATCTACACATATAATAATGGTAAAATGTACATAATAAGTGTATTCATATGTATACGATATTTTTATAGCAAAATACATTATGTTTACGCGCATAACAATAGTAAAATATATTATATTCATGCGTATATAATATCTGTTTAATTATATATCATTATGGATAATAAATATATTTACACATATCTATTATAAAATTTCAAATTGTCATTATATATATTATGTAAATTTTAAAAAATTATTGATGTTTCGAATAAAAATACATGGCCTTAATTTGTTGTGTCACATCATTTTTCCTAATTGATCCTTTTAAAAGAGGCCTAGTGATTTGTAACGAATTTCATGTCCTTCTTCGTAAATGAGAATTGATGAATTAAGGAAAAAGTAGTTTCATTCTGATGTTTTGTTCGAAGCAAATTTCATTTTTCGATAAAAAGAAAAAATTGTAATTCCGAACCAAAAGGTGATCGTCTCAATCCAAACCAACTTATCTATCAAGAACTGAAACATTAAGAAGATAGCATGTCGAACTAAAATGTCCTTAATTAAAGAAGTGAAAATTCTTTTGACCGTTATACGCAGACCAAACATAATCAACTGAAGTTTTTAACTCATATTTGGATTTGGTTCTCAAATACAAATATATCAAAAAATTTCTTTTTAATTGAGCTATAACACTTTATAACGATTTCTCAGCGAAAAAGTTCAATAAAGTTTCTTCGATACGGAATTCAAACCATAAGATGCATTTAGACTTTGAGGTTTCAGGTTTACACTTCACTGTTTATTAACTAATTACGTAATATAATTTAAATAATTTTAAATTTTATTTGATAAAACTTTGATTCTTCAGTGTTTCATAATTTCGAAATCCTTGCATCAAATTTCGAAGAATCAAAATTATTTGATTCAATTTAATTTTTTGATATTTATGTTCATACGTAAAACTTTATACAATAGTATCCCTAAAAAAATAAAAAATCACATACTTTATATATATCTATTTGTTCAAATTATATATTCAAAATTGTAAAATTGAACTACGTAGATATTTTGGGGCTTTAGCTACTTTACCCTAAAGCCGCCCTTGACTGCCGGTGTACCTCCATCTCACGGCGGAGTGTGTCAATTTCTTCCTGCTTTTACCCTTGAGCTTCCGGCGGTGTGCCTGCCATGGGAATGATGGAGATAGATGGACGTGAAAGAAGTGTTGATTCGGAGAGATGGGAAGATGATATGGAAGAAAGCGGGTATGATAAATCTAAGGATTCTTCGAGTAAGCATCGAAGTAGTAAGGATAAGGATAGGAAAAGTAGTAGTGGACGAAGAGAAGAGAAAGAGCATAGAAGAGATCGGGAGAAGAGTAAAGAGTTGGAGAAGGATCGTTCGTCAACTCGTGATAGAAGGAAGGAAGATCGTAGAGATCGTGGAAAAGACCGGGAGAGAGATAGTGAACGGGGAAGAGATAAGGAACGAGATCGGGATACTGACCGGGAGAGAGACAGTGAACGGGGAAGAGATAAGGAACGAGATCGGGACATTGACCGGGAGAGAGATAGTGAACGGGGAAGAGATAAGGAACGAGATAGGGAGACTGAGCGGGTGAGGAGCAGCAAGGATAAGGATAGTGAGAAGGTAAGAGATAGGAAAAAGGAAAAGGAAAGAGGTAGTAGAGATGGAGCTGAGAAGGAGAAGGGGAGAGATAGAGCTAAAGAAAAGGGGAAGGAAGTGGATGAGGATGATAAGGAGAGGTCAAGAGATAAAGATAGGAGCAGCCGTAGGCAGCGAGATGAGGGTCATGATAGGAGTAAGGACAAGGACAGGCGGAAGGATGAAGATTCTGATTATCGCTATGCAGCTAAGCAGGAAATTGTTGTTTCTCATGAAGATGAGGAGAGGTCACATAACAATGCAGTTGAAACAGGTGGAGCACAATCTGCTGCTGCCGCTTCGGAGCTGGAGGAACGCATTCTGAAGTAAGTAACCCATTTTTTACTGGCTCTTTTATTTCGTAATGTATCATATTGTATTCTGTTATCTAGTATCCTACTATATTGTTTCATAATATATCATATTGTATTGTAGTGTGATCTATTGTATCGTACTGTATTGTTTTAATTGAATACAACATTTACCATTCAATCAATTTCAGCTAATATCTTGTGATATGATAGGAAAAAAAGAAAAAAGTTGTTATAGTTTATATTAGTTTTTTCTGAGAAGGCACAATTTGTAAATATTTATCCATATAACATCTAGGTTGTGCTGAAACCATATTTACATGTGAAAAAGAAGAACAAACTGCTTCGTCAACCTATCAGAAAACGAAGGCTTCTATCACTGAAATAGTATCTTCTATGTATCTCTAGTTAGCTCAAGAATAGAAAAATCTAAAGCAGTTCAACTTAAAAATATCTCGAATTTCTCTCTTCCTAGATTGTCCACCAAATGCAGGCTGGTACAACCTCCATTTATCTCTATGTTGCAATCTCGTACTTGCTTTTTGCCAGCTGAGCAAGACCTCAATAATCTTTCTTGCCATTGTCCGAACAGTGTCTCTGTGCCTAATGAAGATCTTTTATAGCATATCTGTGATCCGACAATTTAGAAATAGATGTGCTGTCTCAGTTTATTCAGCATACATGTAGCACTTCGAGCTATGTTGAAATTTCTCTTGCTAGGGTCATCATGTGCCAACACCACTTCCCGGGTTAACAACCAGTTGAAATATGCTACTCTATAGGGTATTTTAACTTTCTATATGTTCTTCCAAGGCCAGTTGTCCATCTGCTGAAGGTCTTTATTGAGTAGCTTATAAGCTGAGCTAACTCTGAAGCATCCTGTAGTGTCTATTTTTCATAGAGCTCCAAGTAGTGTAAAGCATCTTTGATATTGAAGGGCACAGACCAGTTTATACGATAAAGGGCTAGGAACATGTTCCAAAAGTGTGTTGCAAAAGGGCAGTGAAGCATGAGGTGGTTGATGCTTTCTGATGTTTACTGACACATGTAACACCTATTGACCAGTTGGAATCTTCTTCTTGTAAGATTGTCTTGAGTGAGGCATGCTTTTTTTCAGTCTGTCCAAGTAAAACATGAGAATTGTGTTGAGGACATAATCTAGTAAATGGAAGTGTGCTCTCCCTACGACTTAAGTCTTTGTGTTAGATTGTCACACATTTCAGTAATAGCGTCAATGATGGTATCCACCAGTCTGGTGGTCATGATGTTATTAACATTAACAATGTAACTTTAACTAGAAACGAACCGGAGAAAGTCGGCAATGGTGGTGCTAGTTTAGTAAATTTAATCTGTAATTGTACCATTCTGTTAGTGGTTATCCATTTGAATTCATTTTGTTGAGAGATTTGTTTTATCATCTGTCCTAAGCTAGCACGTGGTTTGTAGCTGTGTGCACTGGCTCCTATGATGTGTATGGTGGTGGTTTAGTAATTTAACCAGGGCAGTTGTACATTGACATTGGTTGCTAGCTGTACAGAATTCTTGAAAGACGTTTTGACATACTAGAATATAGATTTGGTTTGATAAGTTATGTTTGTTGTACTTGATAGCTATAGGCTGAAGGAATGCTTATGACTGCAGGATGAAGGAAGAGAGGTTGAAGAAAAAATCAGAAGGTGCTTCTGAGGTGTTGGCGTGGGTTAGCAAGAGCCGAAAGATTGAGGAGATAAGGAATGCTGAGAAGGAGAAAGCCTTACAGCTTTCGAAGATTTTTGAAGAGCAGGTAGGTTGTCTGCTGATGTGCCTGTGACTCTTTTATCTGTAGGAATTGGATTGATTTGACTTCAGGTCTTCATGATATATTATAATCTTGCAGGACAAGATGAATGAAGAAGAAAGTGATGATGAGGAGAATGCTCGGCTAGCTGCAAGTATGGATCTTATTTCTGAATATTTTTTTTGGTTAATATTTCTAATCAAATGTTTTACAAGACCATGCACATTCAATCAAAGTCGTAATATATTGTCTTTGGAACAGAAAAAAATAATATACTTGGTGCATTTTCTTGTTTGGGTGCAAAGCTTCCTGCTCTTCATTCTTAGTATGTTTGATTCCACTTCTAGTTTTAGTCGTCTTATGATTCAAAAATTTTTGGTGGATTTTTTCCTCTGTCATCCAACTCTAATCAAACTGGTGTTGCATGTGAAATCCAAAATTTTGAAGTCGTCATTGGGGAAATGAAAGTAGCCAAGGTCATTCCTTTCATGTACTATGATTTGGCTTTTGTGCAGTTTGGGAACGGAATAAATGGCTTTATTATATTCTCTTAATTGAAATAGTTGAAGAATGCTCTGAAGTTTGTCTTTAATTTCTCTCAACAGAAGAGCTAGGTGGGATGAAAGTACTCCATGGGCTTGACAAAGTAGTCGAAGGTGGGGCTGTTGTCTTGACACTCAAAGATCAGAGCATACTTGCTGGTGATGATGTTAATCAAGGTAACCAAATAAGTGATATGTTTATATTTTCTCTTGTTTTATCTCTGCTTTCAGCCTTCAGTATTGTGGATTCGGATTTTGTAGTGACTTGAATTGTATACCCCAGAGGTTGATGTGCTTGAAAATGTGGAGATCGGAGAACAGAAGCGAAGGGATGATGCTTACAAGGCTGCAAAAAATAAAACAGGGATCTATGATGACAAGTGAGATTTAATATACCTGTAATCACCACTTCTTTGTTATGTTTGAATGACTAATATATCTCGTTATGATTGGATGTAGGTTCAATGATGAACCTGGTTTTGAAAGGAAAATATTACCAAAGTATGATGACCCGGCAGAAGAGGAGGTTTAACTCTTTGTTTCCCTTTTCTTTTTTAATTATTGGAAAATATTGTATTTCCTGAATATTGTTTAATAGCATTTCGTCCTCAATTTAAGAAGAATCCAATCTGTCTTTCTTACCCTAGATTTTCTTTTAGGGAGTTATTCTTGATGCAACTGGAGGTTTCAGTCTTGATGCAGAGAAGAAACTGGAGGAGGTAAGCCATTCTTATCTATTTAATCATGTATGGTTTCAAGACTGTATGTCAGGTTACATTTGTTAACAGAGTTACCCTTTTTGATTACCAGCTACGGAGAAGGATTCAGGGGCCTTCCTCAATAAATCGGATGGAAGACCTCAACTCTTCTGGGAAATTATTGTCCGACTACTATACTCAAGAGGAAATGGTTCAATTTAAGAAGCCCAAGAAGAAAAAATCACTGAGGAAGAAAGAGAAGATGGATCTAGATGCCCTTGAAGCGGAGGCCAAATCTGCTGGATTGGGTGTCAGTGATCTTGGTTCTCGCAATGATAAGACAAGGCAGGTCCTTAAGGAAGAAAAGGAGAGAGCAGATGCAGAGACGAGGAGCAATGCTTACCAGGCTGCTTATGCCAAGGCTGAAGAGGCATCCAAAGCACTTCGACCCGATAAAACTAATAACAACCAGAGAGAGGAAGATGATGCAGTATTTGATGATGATGATGAGGAGCTTAGAAAATCCTTAGAAAGAGCCAGAAAACTTGCATTGAGAAAGCAAGAGGGCCTTGCCAAAACCTTTCCAGAGTCAATTGCTTCGCTTGCTGCTTCCCGTGCAAATGATTCAATGGTGGATAATTCAAGTTCTGCATCTGGAGAGGCACAAGAGAACAAGGTTGTCTTCACAGAGATGGAAGAGTTTGTCTGGGGGCTTCAGCTTGATGAAGGTAATCTACTCTTTAATTTTGCTTGACTGATTGTGATAATAGCCATTTTATTATGTGTGATTTCTCAAGTTAATTGGTAAAGGTTTATCCAGTTGCATGTGGTGGATAGGCCATGTTTTTATAATAGGTTTGTATGCTTGCACAATTTAAGTGTAACTAGTTATGAGTAATTTGTGAGTTGGGAAGAGAACACTGGATAGTGAGGTCAGCAAATCACTGAACGGAATCACTCCTTCAATTTAACAGTCCCTTTTTCTCCCCTAGTGGTTGTTGAGTAATTTCATATGGGGTATCATCGAAACAAACTACCGATACTGCAATAGAGTCTCCAGATATATTGACACAAAATTCCGAAACTTATTACAGTTGACTCCCCAGATACAATATTGAAACAGAATTTTGAAATGTTCTACAATTAGTCATTCGTCCTTCTTACTCCAACTCCTAATTTAGATGATTAAGAAAAAGAAAGCAACAAAATTTGGAGGTTTATAGTATATAAATCTTCTCTCCAGTTTATTTGTGAATAGAAGTTCTGCTGTTTTGATGGAAATTTCATTTTTCTTGCATGTCCAAGCCTATGGGGGTGATGAGCATTTACAGTTATCCTTGTTACAAGTTTTTCAACAAAAAGACCTTGTAGAAGTTCTTCAAGAGAAAGATAAATACAAGCTTTTCAATAGCAAAAATCTTGTTTGTCACTGCAATTGATTCTGAGACAAGAGAATCATACATTTCCTATTCAACATATATCTCTACGTCCCTCCAGGGACGTCTGGTAGAATTGGAAGGACATAACACGACGGTTAATCAATCATATTTCACATTTTTATGTTGCATTTTTGCTGTGTTTTTATTTTATCATTAACTCAACTTTTACTTTGGTCTTTACTGGAACTTGGCAACGGCTTTCAAGGGTGGCGTTATCTGATATTATTACCTGTTTGCTCTTGTAGAGGAACAAAAACCTGGTAGCGATGATGTTTTCATGGAGGAAGACGTGCTACCAAAACCCTCTGATGAAGAACTGAAGAGTGAGGATGGTGGTTGGACCGAAGTGAAGGAAACCAAGGAAGAGGAGCCATCTGTAAAGGAGGAGGAAATGGAAGTAACTCCAGATGATACGATACGTGAAGTTCCAGTTGGAAAGGGTTTATCAGGGGTTCTCAAACTTTTGCAAGAACGAGGTACTCTCAAGGAAGATATTGAATGGGGTGGTCGAAACATGGACAAGAAGAAGAGCAAGCTCGTAGGCATCCGTAGCGAGGACGGGAAAAAGGAAATAAACATAGAAAGGACTGATGAGTATGGGCGAATCGTAAGTACTTCTACTTAATTAATGAGTTCTTGGATTCTCTAACTTCTATTCCCCTGTAGTTTTGTGCTATTAACCCCTCAACCAGTATTATTCTGTTTATCCAAATGTATCCCCCGCGACAATTCTGTGGAAGCTGTCCTCCTGTTCTACACTTTCTTGTACAAAGATGTCACTGCCTTCTGATAGGGAAAATTTTGCTGTCTGTATGGTCTGATAGGGAAAATTTTACTGTGTCTGTATGGTCTGATAGGGAAATTTTTCCTCTACAATATTCAACAGTGTAAGTTTCTTATTATCAATGACATCTCTTTATATACCATAAAACTCCAATTTAGTACTGGCGTGTGGACATAAAATGGGATGGAGGGGATTCCTAAGGAACAGCAGGTAAGAATGGCGAGATTGCTCCTGTAAGACTACTATGTCCATTATCGCCATTCCACTTGTGCACCCATATCATTTAATAATGAGATTGGTTTATATGATGGTTGCGAGGGGGTGGTCTTTTAATTTCATATAATGAAAATGACTGTAATGATACTTACCAAATAAAAGAGGGTAGAGTGGGGGCTGACTGCTGAGCACCTATTTGATGAATTCCTTCTGGTTCTACGAGCTTATTCTAGTGTAGCCTCATCTTTCAATTGATATGTGGTTTCTTCTTCTTCAGCTGACTCCAAAGGAGGCTTTTCGGTTGCTTTCACATAAATTTCATGGGAAGGGGCCTGGGAAGATGAAGCAAGAAAAGCGTATGCGGCAATACCAGGAGGAGCTGAAGATAAAACAGATGAAAAATTCAGATACTCCATCACAGTCTGTGGAGAGGATGAGAGAAACTCATGCTCAAACAAGAACTCCATATATTGTTCTTAGCGGACATGTTAAACCAGGGTTCGTTTTTTTCCTTACTCTCTTTAAAGTGCTTTAATTCAAAAAGTAGATCTTTCCCGCGGACTATCAACTATGCAGCTGACTTGTCAGTTGCCTAGGGCAGGGTTCTTATACTTCTGCCGTATTGAAGTTCTATCAATTTTGATTTGGCCTTAGAGATACATTTTGTCAGAGATCTCTCATCTTTTCCTGTCGCAAGCTTGTATTTTTATTTATCTCCAACATTCTCTATGGTTTGTAATTTGCAAAGTGTTCGGTCATTTTCAGGCAAACTAGTGATCCTCGAAGTGGTTTTGCTACTGTTGAGAAGGACTTGCCTGGAGGTTTGACCCCTATGCTTGGTGATAAGAAGGTCAGTGTCTTTTGCTGGTGATTATACTTACATAGAAAGGCTATGATGCTGTTATAGTTATGTTGCTCGGAATCTCCAAAAATACTGCCACACCCGTTTCAGATCCTTTAAAAATGCACTACTTTTAGAGTACCCAACTTGCACCTGTCAGTATTTTTAAAGAGTCCGAGCAATGCAAGTATACGTGTGCTCACTAGCTGTCCACCTGAACACTCTCATGCTTTATCTGACATGTTCTTTTTAGTGCTTGCACATTTTGCTCTCTATTTGATCATCATCTAGTTCCCAGGGTTGTAATTTTTATCGCGACGTCTTTCAGGTGGAGCACTTTTTGGGCATAAAACGCAAGTTTGAACCAGGAGAGGGGAGCTCACAAAAGAAGCCCAAAAATTAATTTACTTTTCGCGGTTCAAGATATCCTTTTTGCTTTACGCACAAGATCTTGTAATTGTACATAAAAATCTATCTACGCTGTGTGGCGTAAATGGTTCAATTGTGATGCCTCTGTTAAATGGCATAGCAACATGAAAATAGTAGTGTACTTCACATGTAGTTGACCAATCCTACTGTTGCCTTGATCCCTTTTTGGCCTTCAAATCACAATTCTAATCGTGCTGAGGAGCATTTCAACATTTCTTCTGTATTTGTCTTATTGATGAACGTAAATTTCATTTAGACGTTCAAAAGTATGACATGTTTCGACACATGATGTGTAAATGGTCACAGCTATTCATTACGTAGATAAATTAATCACATAAAATGTCTCCCTCGGATTATACACACTCTTTCGACAAAAATTAGAACATGCATGATGTTTTGATCTATAATTCAAGGAGATGATTTATTTTAACTAGTATCATCATAATGTGCTTGAGAGTACATATGTAATTTGTCTACGAGAAACAATTTATCATTTGTTTATGTGCTCAATCGAAATAGTTTAAGTGGTTATCTAGATTGTGTATAATAAGTTAGAAGAAATGCAAGAATCAATAAGGACCACAAGATTTGGATAGCCTTTACTTCATCTTCTTTCTTCCTATGTCACAAGTTCACAACTTTCCATAGTCATTCCCCCAATCAAGAAGCTAAAAAAAAGACTCAAATAATGGCAATGCATCACTATTTTCGTACAAGAAGTACTACGTCTAATCAGTGGTGGTGGAGTCAGAATTTTGTCCATGACAACAGAGTCAGAACATCCACTAAAAGGATTCAAATATACATGACTCATGAGTCGTCCTCAGATAACCAAAACGACACAATCCAACCCAATCAATTTTCACCACTCGAATCAGTTTTCAGGCGGCGTTTACTTACTGGCATTGCCACAGCTTCTATAGTAGCCTTGGGTGCCAATTTTACTGGCATTACTAGTTCCTTACTAGGCCTATCCCCCGATGGTGCTCGGAGTCTTAAGCTCGATGTAATCTACCCTATCGGAGGTTATACTCGATGTCTTGACACAAATGAAGGATTTGGTTAGTAAGTAGTTAACATCATTGGTATTTTTAACTAAGTACAAAAGATTCGACTTTTCGTAGCAATAATATGAGTTGCCACTAAAACTATTTGTGACGGATTTTTTTTTCTGTTACAGAGTTTGTGTATCCATCAAGTTGGGTTGGTGATCAAACTATATTGTATCGAGCCGCGGGGAGAGTAGAACGATCACTCGATCCACCATCGTTGAGTGGCAATGGTGATCGGAGACGGAGAAATGTGAATGAACCAGTTGTTGCATTTGGTCCTCCGGGATCAAATGGAGAACTCAATGTTAGTGTCATTGTTTCACAAGTTCCTATTGATTTCTCGTAAGCTTCCATCCCTAGTCTTACTTAAAAGATGTACATTTCATATAATTTTTACTAAGTTCGATATTGCATTTTGTTAGGATTTTATTCTGAATAATTCTAAAAATCAGCTAGGTTTTTTTTATATGTCCTGAATCTTTTTGTTGTTGCTAGTTAGTCCTTAAAGGTAGCATTATCATTAGGAGTATATCAAAATATTATGCATCTTTTAGTCAAATTATTTTGGCATAATACAAGAAACAACTTAGATTTGTATATAGTTGAATAAGTAGATACATACGTCCTACCTGAACGTGTGTCTCTACTTATTCAACTTTATACAAGTTTAACCTACTGGAGAACATAAACGTCGGTCAGTATCAAATTAAAAGACATTCATGTATTGCGCCATTTATACAAGTCTGATTTATCATCGTTTAAGATTAAGCTTCTGCGTGACGACTTTTCAACGCGATTTTTGGCAGGATAGAGACATTTGGAGGACCAAAGGAAGTAGGTGAGGCTATAGTGAAGATTATTACAGGATCAGGCAAAAGACCTAATGTTAAAGGGACACTAATTCAAGCAAATTTAAGAGAGGATTCTAATAAAAAATATTACACATTAGAATTTCAAGTTGAAAGCCCTACATTTGAGAGACACAATGTTGCTGTTTGTTGTGCTAAGGGAGGAAAATTATTCACTTTGAATTCACAATCTCCACAATCAAGTTGGCCAATGGTGAAAGAAGATCTCTACAAAATAGCTAATTCTTTTAGCGTAACGTCATGAAGTCATAAATCGAACATAATAAAGACTTTTTTGTGTCATTTGATTCAGGAGGAGTCTCTTGACGTTACGTCTCTTTTTAGAGTTGATGCTTAATATAAGAAAAAGAGACTATGAAATAAAAGAAAGAAGGTGCGTTCGAACTTCGATATTTTATACAAATTGGGCTTCAAATGATTTAGTCCAAACAATTCTCTTTTTATGGCATTAGTTATTGGATGCTTAACTAACTTTGTAACAAGAATATCATTATAAATTATGTTTACATTACACAATTTGTTTGATACAATCACATTGTTATTAGGGATTCATTTGAATATCATTCGGTGAAAAATTATATTATTTTTATACGGTTAAAATAATTTTGTAGGTATATATAATAAATATCAAACTCCCTTCAGCTATTTCGTATGTCTATTTCTTCAGATTTTAAACCTTTATAATGAAAATTTTGACTCCGTCACTGACAATGATTTTGATAAATATATCAAAATATAAGTAATCAAAGAATTGGCCAATGCAAATTATTAGTGTTTTACAAATTTTCAAGATTCACTTTTTTTTAGGTTCCAATATTTTCTCCTAACTAAGTCTTAAGTCTTATAATTACAACACGTGTCTATTATACACATCTTTATCCTTTTAAAATTAAACAAGATTTAATTAATTAATACTAATTTCTAATAATTATTGTCACAAGTTATTAATTAACCAAAAAAAAAAATCCCTCATGCACGTAAAACCACAACACATCCCTAACAATAGGAGTACACGTAATTAATTATCAGTCATAAAAGAATTGAACAACCTTAATAATTGCTTAATTAACGTTTGATTAAGTCTTAATCTAAGAACTTCCTCATCTTTCATGTTCTAACCCCAACCCCTTTTACTAGATTGTCGTATGGAAGCTTGAGAAGAAAAAAAAAACATCAAGATTTTCCATCAATGTAAGTAATTTTCATATAATATATGTTTTGTTATGTCTTAAAAAAAAATTGGATATGATTTTTTTGTGTGTTTAATTTGAATGTTATGTTTATGTAATTGAATTATTATCTTTCGTTTGAAAATTATGCTGTATATATATTAAAATAGTTGAATTCGCGATTCAAAATTATAGGATGTGAAATCTTGAATTCCCTTGTTAGAATTCGTTGTGGTTCGGCTTTTCCCTGGACCCCACAAGTTCACCGGGTTGCCTTTATTGAAATTTCTGGTTCTGCCACGGCTTTTCCCTGGATCCCACAAGTTCACCGGGTTGCCTTTATTGAAAGTTTTGGTTCTGCCACGACTTTTCCCTGGACCCCACAAGTTCACCGAGTTGCCTTTATTGAAATTCTTGGTTCTGCCACTGTTTGTATAGTATTAGTATGTTAATTGTTCTTAGCAATTATGAGGTGGAGAAATGAGATTTTTTTTTATTATTACTATTGATTTTCTTGATCTGGGATCTTTCGGAAAAAACCTCTCTACCTCTGCGAAACAAAGGTAATATCTGTGTACACTCTACCCGTCCTAGACCACAACGCGCGGGGTACCTACATGTGTGGACACTAGTACAGAGTGACATTATCAAGTGCGCGATAGACCATGAGTAAGCACTTTTAATGTATGTTAAAGACAAACTCTCTACTTTTCTGGGAGGTTCATGTATACTCTACCCTCCCCAGATCCCGCGTGTAGAATTACACGGGGTTCGTTGTTGTTGTACTTTAGTCAAAGTTTGTTTACTTTTCATTTGGTACTAGTATATCTTGTTCTTGATGTGTTAAAATCTTTGTTGGTATTGATTTGGATCTCTAATTTGTGATAATTTGTTGTGTTTTGATGGGATTTGTATAGTTGACATGACTAAAGGGGGTGTGGAAGATAACATTGTTCTGTCTAGTGTGAATGTGAGTAATGTTGATAAGATGTTGGCACCAAATTATAATGGGAATTTGAAGGGAAAGAACAGTTTGGAGAGTGAGCTCGAGTCGATACTTGTGAGGCAACAGCAACGTCAACATGATCGTGATATTGTTGGTGAACGTGAGAGGGATTTGAATATATCGAGGAGTGGTAGTGCTCCTCCTACTGTCGAAGGATCGTTGAGTGTTGTTGGAAGTTTGTTTAAGAATTCTAACTTAGCACAATCTAATAGTAGTAACAATGGTGGTGGTGGTGGTAATTCAAGCAATGACATTTTGACAGAAGAGCAAATTCGATCACACCCTGCGTACTTGGCGTACTATTACTCAAATGTCAATCTTAATCCTAGATTGCCCCCTCCGTTGATGTCTCGAGAAGATTGGAGAATTGCTCAGAGGGTTCAGGCAGGAGGATGTGCTTTTATGAGCAAGAATTTGATGGAACAAGGTGGTGGTTCATCATTGTTCGCGATGCAACCTGGTTTCCCTATACAGAGGGCGGAAGACGAGTTGATTAAGCTGAGGAAGACTGCTGCGAGGAATCTGTCACGAGGAACATTGGAATCCAACACTGGAATTGGTGTGAGGAAAAAGAGTTTTGCGGACATAGTTCAGGTGATCTCTCTTGACTTGTGCTTGTATATTTGCTTTATTTCGAAATGCTTCTATTGACGTGTACCAATACTTTCTCAAGTTGACATGTGTTCGTGACAAATTAACGTTCATATGAAAGTTATCATCTTTTCAATATCTATCATGTCAAATCGTCGAGAAAATGCAGAAACGTACCTGAATCCATGAGTTCTAATGAAGACAACCGCGTTCTCCTCCTCCACTTCTCATGTTGCTTCCGAATCTTCTGAATTAAGATGAGATATACTTTTCCTTTTCAGGAAGGACTTGACCAATCTGCACTCGCGCCTGCTGATCTTTCACACGCTGAAAGCACGGAACACACAAAGACATCACACACTGGAAATGCTCCTCCCGGCTTTTCTGGATTGGAGAAGATTCAGAATCCTAATCCACATCACCCTGATTCTTCTGCATCTGCCATCAATTCAATGATAAGGAGTGGAACACCTGACCCTCGTTCATTTACAAGATCACCTAGTCCCAAGATTTCAATTGACATAACTAGCCCAAATGGCCTCAATGCCGATGTATCTGATCTTACTGCCTCATTATCTCGCCTTCAACATGACGATAATATGCAGCAGACTTGGCTTCAAAATAGACTATCAAATGGTTATAGGCAGGGCGTGCAACATCAGCTAAATGAATACTATGGAGCTGAAAATTTAGGTACTGTTTCCGATTATGCTGACCATAATTCCACATTCTACCTTGATGGACATACGGATTACCTCAGTCCTGAGTTTGTGAGTCAAAACTCTAGAGTCCAACAACACATCAATAACAATCACGTTGTTGATTCTACCGGATATTTACCTGGTGGATACAAATATAACCCGAAGATGGTGTTGAATAACAATCTTGGTAAGGTTTATTGATCAGTCGTGATATCGTGTGCATTAGAATTACTTTTTGTGCTCACGTTGTTTGAAAAATGTGTTAGGTTCTCATTTAAATGGTGTCAATGGGAATGGACGTCATCTGAGGAGTGATCCGAAATATGCAACTTCTCATGGCAATACAGAATTAAAAGTTCTTGGAACAATGTATGCTGATACAGCATCACTCCCGCAACAGAAGCAACAATATTGCCCTTCCTTAATACGTAATTCTTGCAATTTAACGGATAGGTATCATGTGATTCATGCTCTTGGCTCAGGCCAAGAGAATAAAATAGCAAATTCATTGTATGTGACAGTAGGATCGAGAAGTCCTATGTATCAGAGTGATCCTCTCCCACAGATTCCTCCTGCCTTGAGAAATCCTACCGATGAATCTAAAAGTTCATGGCATTCGGAGAACGTTACTGATGGAAATGTTTCACTGTCTCTACTGGAAGATCTCAAGAACAACCCCAGGTCGTTGGATCTTTTGGATGTTCTTAATCATGTTGTCGAATTCAGGTGCATCTAAGCTGCTTTTTTCGTATATATTTTAGCTATATCATCTCTTTTTTTCCTTTACTGCCTCTTTTTTATTACTTAGTAAGGATCAGTACGGGAGTCGATTTATTCAAAAGAAGCTGGAAACTGCCACTGTCGAAGAAAAGATGAAGATATTCCCCGAAATTCTTCCTCATGCTCACAGTTTAATGACAGATGTCTTTGGGAATTATGTCATACAAAAGGTACTGATAGTCGTTTAAACCATCGTTATCTTTTTCTTTTCTCTCTTCAAACTGTACACTATCCTAGATGAATTTTGTGTTGATTGTCATTTGCTAATCAATGTAAACAGTTCCTCGAGCATGGAACGGAGAGTCAAAGAAAGGAACTAGCAAGGCAACTTCTCGGTCATGTTTTGCCTCTGAGTCTTCAAATGTATGGTTGCAGAGTTATTCAGAAGGTTGATCTTTTTATTTATCCTGTACAATAACTTGATCTAGTTTTAGTGCACAGTCACGTCTTGTGCATTCATATGTGTTTGTCTACTCCTTCCGTTTCAGTTTATTTGTATGGTTTTGACTTGACTCGGAGTTTAAGAAAGTCAAAAAACTATTTTTTATCACATCAAAGTAATTGAACTCTATCCTCTATAACAGTTAAGTCAGACGAAGAGATAGAGTACGATATCCTTGCTTAATAGTTCATCCTTTTGTCCTTTTTTTCTGGATTACGGAATGAAACATATTATATGATCACAGGCTTTGGAAGTCTTTGATGTGGAACTGCAGAAGCAAATGGCTACAGAACTAGATGGCTATGTGATGAAATGTGTTCGTGATCAGAATGGTAATCATGTTATTCAGAAGTGCATAGAGTATGTACCTCAAAATCGAATTCACTTTATTGTAGCTTCCTTCTTCGGGCATGTTGGGTCTCTATCAACACATCCTTATGGCTGCCGTGTCATTCAGGTACTGATATGTTTTTTTTATCTTTTTCCGATTCTTCGTTTTGTTCTGTTGAGTTCCCTCAACCAGTTTGGATCTGTTCATTTTCAGCGAGTCCTTGAGTACTGCAATAACCCGGAGACACAAAAGACCATCATGGATGAAATAATGCAGGCTGCCGGTACTCTAGTGCTTGATCAATATGGAAATTATGTCATTCAGGTAATCGACTTACCACATTTTCATCTTCTTGTCATCATTACTTTACGTTATTAGTTAAGACTGTCTCTAGGCACTTCTCATTTGACCTGAAACCGCCTTTTTGATTGCTGTCTTAAATCAAGTAAGCTCTTAGCAATGTAGACCGCCAAGTTACAGGAACAAAGCTCTTTACTACACCTACTGATAAAAAATCAGGAAAAGATTAATACGCGATTCCAACTGGCACCAGAGGTTTCCGACTATAAGTTCTATTCACCTTTGATAAAACGTCTGAATATGCTCGACTTTAGCTGATTGTATATGTCCTGGCTGAATATTTAGTTACAATGTGGAGTTTGTTTTCCAACATCTACTTTTCTGCTGAAACGATGAATAGGTGTTTATGCAGCTGCTGTTTATTAAGGTACTAGCTTTTATTTTTGTATTTCCGAGTGCTGATAAACGTCTGCAGTAGATGATGAGGAATTCTTCGATTTTTTGTGTTATAAGTTGCTGTGTTTCTGTTATTAATTCTTATTTCGATCGTCTTCTTACTTCTCTAGCATGTACTGCAACACGGTAAACCACATGAGAGGTCTGAGATAATAGGCAAACTTACTGGACAAATTGTAAAGATGAGTCAGCACAAGTACGCTTCTAATGTCGTTGAAAAGTGCTTGATTTTTGCAACTCCAGAGGAGCGTCAAATTCTGGTGAACGAAATGCTTGGTTCGACACAAGAAAATGAGCCTCTACAGGTCTGTTACTATTCTTTAATTTACACAGATTTTGCACCATTCTGTTCTGCATTAGAAAGGTAAAATGCTGCAAAGCGGAAAAACAAGAACACACTATCTCTTATTCTTGCATGTGTTAAGTGAACGTTCTACATCCGTGCTTCTGCCATTTGCTTTAGCACGGGGTAGAATACTAGGTGCGATGAACATTCACTTCGTGAACTAGAAAACACTTAAAATCCTGTTAATTACGTAGTCTTGAAGAGAACGTATCAGCAACAACATGAATCAACACTACAAACGTCAGGACTCTAATCAGGACCTCCAGGAGAAGTCATATAATGTATTTGTTCTTACGGTGAAATCTTAGTCATCATGACAGTAGAATTGGTAGACTATGTAGTACTTCTATCCTTAGCTTAGTAATCGGAACACATAACAACGTTAGAGAAGATATTTGCTTAACTTTGTTATTCACAAATTGCTGTGATGCTGTCCCTTCTCATCTTTTTTCATCGCCCTGTCTAATACCTTCCACGTCTATCAGTAAAGTTCAGTACGAAACTCAAGGTAAGTGCACAGAATAGGCTTCTCGGGTAGAAACTGAGCGCTAACTATAGGTAACCAACATGTTCAATTCAAAGACAGGTAAAAGGCTTAATCGAGAGAGTGATCATACGTTCCAGATAGTTTGTGTGCTGGTCTTTCTCGGACCCTGCTAACACGTAATGCCCCTTTTCTGCATATACATTCCATCTCCACAACAACATAATCATCTCTTTTTCTTTTTCTGCTTGAACATTTTCATTGTCATTCAAAATCTAACATGTTAAAGTTCAACGAAATGCAGGCTATGATGAAGGATCCATTTGGAAACTATGTAGTACAGAAGGTTCTTGAGACATGTGATGATCAAAGTCGTGAACTAATTCTTTCGCGTATTAGAATACACCTTACTGCCCTCAAGAAATACACTTACGGAAAACACATTGTATCTCGTGTTGAAAAACTCATCGCGACAGGAGGTTAGTACACACTCCCCTCCCCTCCCCTCCCTTGATATATAACAACGTTTCGTGGTACTTTAGTCTTTAACTAACCTACTAACGACCATTGTATCGTGTTTTTTTTCCAGAGAAACACGTGGCTCTATCGATGAATTCTTCTCGAGGCAATCCAGTTTTGAAGAACTGAAGACATTTTTATTTTTGTGTATAGCTTGTAAATAAGCAGCAATCCAGTTTTGCTTCAGCCAAAATAATTGTAAATGGAAACTCTGTAATTATTTTTTGGGTAGTGAAATGAGGCAACTTATTATATGCTAGTTGCTACATGTTTTGTTTTTTTGGAACTATTGTATACTTCTCAAGCATGAAAAGTTGAGGAAATTTTGCATATAATCATCTGATATTTGAAATTTTATTTGTCCGATTAGTTCTATTTACGCTATATATGACGTTTTAAAGGGGGAAATGCCTTCTATCTGTGTGATAAGACACGTATGAAGAAAGATAGGAAATGATACTGATTTGCGTTTTTTCAAAATGCCTGGAGGTTTTACCCATGGAGCAATATGAACAGTTCTTTTACCGTAGTTTTTTATGGTTATTAGAAGTTGTCTATCCTTTATCGTGAATAATTATAAAGTAGCTATCGGTTATTTATTATTATATAACAGGAGATCTAGTAAATAAGTAGACAGAAAGTAATATATCGTTGATATGCAAAAAACGTTGTTTAAGAGATACGAGATACTTGTTATTTTTTGTATCTTCTAATGTTCTACGAGATACTTGTGTCTCTCTTTTTATTTCTTGTTGTTTTTTTTTATCAAATAACGATAAAAAAAAACTGTTCATTACTCAATGGGTGAAACCTCCAGAAATTTAAAAAAATGCAAATCATGTTTTCGTATATTTCTTCATTTCTTCCTAATAAAGTATGAAAGATATGTATCTAATCATATTGATTGCTCCGTTTCTAAAATTTGAATTTGAGGCTACTGGTTAATCAACTTTAGATAAATCTGACTTTATCAATAAATTATTTAGCTTTCGAAAAATAATTTCTTTTACTCTTCACAAACACTTAATTTCTCCCATACTTCAATTAAATATCTCACTTTTTAAAAAAGGAAAAAACATTTATGGCCTTATAAAACTTTACCAAACAAGTTATATAGCACATATAGGTAAATACAGAAACATTTTTATGCACATAAATTTAGATAAATTTAAATACACATATTCAACATCACAATAAATTTTTTTTTATAAAAACATATTCATAAACAAAAATAACTTTATTGAATCATTCAAACCTATTAAAAAGTGTATAACAATTAAAACATCATAATTTGAGAGTATTTCAACTCATTTTCCTTCTCCCATGCTTTTTTCAAAAAAATATTTTTTATCATATCAAAACACACACACACACAAAAAAAAAATTACATACCAAAATATGAAAAAAAAAATATAAAAATGAAGAGTGAATAAAGATGAAAAGGGGAAGAAAATAAAAGAGGTGGGAATAGCAGCAAATTCAATTTTCAGTTCTTGAATTTTAATTTACTCAGAAAAGAGAAAGAGAGAACAATTTCTCAGAGCTTTCAACAATGGAGGCAGTAGTAGTGGATGCTGGTTCTAAATTTCTCAAAGCTGGTTTCGCTATTCCAGATCAAACTCCTGCTATGGTACTTTTTTTTACTTTTCTTAACTGTAAAACAGGAACCCCACCAAAAAAAAAGGGTCCAAATTTGGAGTTTTCTTGCTGTATTACCTCAATTTGTGTGAAAGTTTGGAGCTTTGTTATGGTTATACTGTATTTATAACTCTTTTCTTGATTTTGGTTGTGTATAGGCAGAGTATAAGAAAACCCCATATGTAAAGAGCTGAAAGATTGGAACTTTTTGCTTTTTACTTGTTAATTTTGCTTCAATTTGTGTATTTCTTTTTTGTGGGGTTGGGGTGTTAAGATGGTAATGACGTAGTTAATGTTTTATGTAACTTTGGGAATGAAGTACAGGAAAACCCCATATGAATTTTAGCTTCAAAATTGGAACTTTCTGCTATTTACTTGTGCTCTAATTTTGTGTGGATTTTTTGAGTTTTTAAGGTGGTAGTGATGTAGTTGATGCTTTTTGTAACTTTGGGAATGAAGTAAAAGAAAAAAACCACAAGGGAAGAGCTTCAAGATTGAAACTTTCTGCTATTTACTTGTTAATTGCTCCAATTTTGTGTGGATTGGGTTTTTAAGAGAGCAATGTTGTAGTTAATGCTTTCTGTAACTCTGGGAGTGAAGTATAAAAGAGCTCCATAAGAAAGAGCTTCAAGATTAGAACTTTCTGGTATTTATTTGTTTTGTTTTTCCAACTTGTGTATTTTTTTTGGTTGTGTGTGTGTGTGTGTTAAGATGGTAATGATGTAGTTAAGGCTTTTTGTAACTTTGGGAATGAAATACAAGAAAACCCCATAAGGAAAGAGCTTCAAGATCGGAATTTTCTGCGATTTACTTGTTATTTTGCCCCAATTTTGTGCGATATTTTCTTTTTGGTTTTAAGATGATAATGATATAGTTAATGCTTTTTGTAACTTTGGTAATGAAGAACAAGAAGGCCCTATGAGGAAAGAGCTTCAAGATTGAAAGTTTGTGTATCTTTTGGATTTTAAGATGGTAATGGTATATTTATTGCTTTTTGTAAATTTGGGAATGTATGGTTTAGGTAATACCAACCCAAATGAAACGCATTGCTGAAGATGATGAAGGTTCCTTGTTTGAGGAGGAGGAAGTGGCTGTGGATCCCATTGAGAGGGGTTTCGTTAAAGATTGGGATGCAATGGAAGACCTGTTGCATCATGTTCTTTATTCTGGTCTTGGTTGGGAAATTGGAAATGAAGGTCAAATTTTGTTCACTGACCCGCTCTGCACTCCCAAGGTGAGTTCTTGATTTTTCTTTAAAAACTTATTCAGAATTTCTGTAATTTATTTATTTTTTGGGGGCTAGTACCAAATTTCCGTAGAAATTAGTGAATGATTTTTCAGTATGCAAACTGCGAATGCACATGACAAGAAAATGTTTTAAAGAATTGCATATTGGATGGGCTGTAATGTCAACTTGAAAAGCTTTACTCCTTTGCTAGGGAATAGTAACTGAGAGAGCCTGGAAATCTCAGTTTCAAATCCTAGTTACAACCTTTGGTGTAAGCCCATTTACTCCAGGTTGGTGGGCATGATTAGTATTACCTTGGAAACATGTGCTTGTGGACGTGACATATGGATTAATCTAGATGCACACAAGCTGGTCCAGAAACATCGATATAAAAATTAAAAAGGAACAGCAACTAAGTGAATATGTCCTTAGCGGCTTTCCTTTCTGTAATTCAGCACATCTAGGTATGAAGCTTAAAGAGGGTCCTCAGGGATTAATAATTGGCTTGGTCTTATGAGGTTAAAGAAAAGTTTTGAAATATAGAGAATATAGTAAGTCATTGGTTCTAGATGCTAGATTTTGCTTATTATTTTTTAACTGCAACATCAAGTTGGAGTCTTTTCTGTGTATTGGTTTGGAAATGTAATTTAATATACATATTGTTGCCTTTGTGTCAACAGGCTATTAGGGAACAATTGGTGCAGTTGATGTTTGAAACATTCAACATCTCGGGGTTTTATGCCTCTGAGCAGGCAGTACTGTCGCTTTATGCAGTTGGACGCATATCTGGCTGTACTGTTGATGTTGGTCATGGGAAAATTGGTAACTGCATTACTTAAAGCTTATCACCCTTCAACATCCATGTATTTGAAGACTCTTTGTTTTTTCTGTCACTTAGTCTTCCGTTATCATATTTAGCCTACTTATGCTGTTATCAGATTTAGCCTGCTTATTTAGTCACTTGTCATTAGGTAGCATACATAATTTTGTTTCTATTTCCTTTGGCAAAGTATAAGTGAGCGGAGACATGAAGGCTTGAGAATGTGGTTATCATTGCAGTATTGGTTGGAAAAACTTAGTAGTACTGTTGGTTTTATTAGTTTCGAGAAACAGATCAGGGTTATAATCCTGTCTGTGGTTACTAGGGTTGATATGTCCCTCAATGTTCTGCATTTTCTTCGTCTATTTATAGTTGAGCCTTTTTAGGCTGTACCTATTACAGTTAATGCTGATTTATGAAAAAAATATATGTACAAATGGGGCACTTCAACCTTGCTGCAGCCATATCCCTCAGGGACGGCACCACACATGCATCCACAAAAATCACTAACCTTAAATATGAGCTCTAGAAAAGAGAAAGGTATTTCATGAAAGGTTTCAAGCTACTGGCTTCCCTGACTGAGGTAATTTTTACAAAGAACCAGTACGTGGGATGGTTTATCACCCCCCTTAGAGGTATTTTGGGGCACATGGTAGGTGCAATCTCAATTGATGAGAAGCATATCCACAAGAAGAGTGTAAAGAAAGAGATCAATGGTTGTAGAAGCCTGATTTTAAACTCTAGTCGACTGGATGTGCACAAGTAAATATTGAGAACTGCAGCTAACAAGTTGTCTTGAAAACAAAAAGAGGCGATACCTCTTTTCTTCCTGTTCATTGCACATGTCCACCTTGTGTTTCCACCTTCTTTGGCCATGTCCACCACTACCACCCCAGAATTTTCTCGACATATATTCAAGAGAAGATTGTGTGCTGGTGGACAGCACATCTGTATGGAACATGATAATTCTCATGACCTTGAATACTTTCTATTCATCTTCTTGCATCTTGATAAGTTGGTTTTGGGTTTCTACAAGGAGGATATTAGTTTGCAGTGTTGTAATATCACTCTTGCATATAAATGCTACATATTCTTCTGTATAATTAGAGACTTCATCATTTAAGTTTAGAAGTATTGTAATTTGAGAGCTCATAGTAAGTTAGTAACACAATTTTGCTTTTGAGTAAAATCTGAGCAGTAGGAAAAATATCTTTATCGCTCATCACTACTCAGGGTTGATACAGTGAGACCCTTTTGATGCTTACATTTTACAAATAAATGGTCAGAAAGAAAAGAATCTTGTAGCCTCTATTCATTTGGTATGGGCAGAACACTGATGTTTTCTACTCTTGCCTTGGATTAAGGAACTATGAGAATTGATTTCGCTCTGTTGCTATCAGAAATATGACTTCTGCTTATTTTGCTATAATGAACATTCAAGATTTTTTCGTGTGCTTCTTCTAAAGGTTAAACTGTTTGTTTTCTATTTTGGAAATGTTACTTTACTTTTCCTTGTTTTTTCTCCCATCTGTGTTGATTTCTCAGAGTTCTTCCGAATGTCTTCTTTTATGACCTTTTAGATATTGCACCTGTCATTGAGGGTGCTGTTCAGCACATAGCATCAAGAAGGTTGGAAGTTGGGGGATTGGATTTGACAAAGCTACTAGCAGATGAGCTTAGTAAATCAAATCCCACAGTGAAACTCAATATTTCTGATGTTGAAAAATTGAAAGAGCAGTATGCATGCTGTGCTGATGATGATATTGCCTATGAGAAGCTTCAACACTCTTGCCTGCAAGAGAAACATACTCTGCCTGATGGCCAGGTTTTTGTGCACTACATTTCAGCTTATAAGGCACCATTATATGAAGTTGATAGAAAACCAGTTGGTTGTATTTTAATACATCTTTAATTTCTAGAACTTATTCTAGTTTCTTAAGGTAAACATAAGCTTTTGTTTTCAAACCTCTGAAAGAAATCCTTCTTTTGATTTCTCCTAAGTCCTAAGGACATTGTGGTGTAGAACAAGCCAGTACATTATGCCTTTGAACTCTTGTTTCTGATTGTCTTGTTCCTGCAAAGAGGCTTAAAACCTCCATTGGTGAATTCTTCCGGTGACCCATTATGGGGTTGAATACTGATCTGATTTTAACATTTCTAGGATTGACGTCTTTCGCTGCGCTTTGATGAGGTCGGAGACTGATTTGATTTAACAATTATTAGGATTGATCTTAGATATTTCCTCTGCCTCTTTCTGTAGAATAGCACAAGTCACCCAGTTAGGGTTCCAAAGAGTGCTGCCATATGCAATACTCATTTTCAGGATAGGAGGGTGAAGGAACAAGGCTATACAGGAAAGTTAGAAAAGATTGAGAACATGGGGTCTTACCATCAATGTGAATATTAGACAACTACATAGACATCATAATATAGAAACTACAGGCTGAGATTTTTGCATTCCACTAAATATCTTAGATTAATAGCAGTAAGGGGAGTTGCATTTTAAGATCATTGTGTATTCCAGTTCAGTGGTTTTGATTAAAGAAAAAAAAAAGTTCCTGCTGGCGTTCGTTTATTGTAGTTCTGTCATCCTTATCTACCATGTAGAACTGTTGATGTCTGAATGAATCTCATTTCATCTTTTGTGATTTAGGTAATCACAATTGGAAAAGAAAGATACACTGTTGGAGAGGCATTGTTTCAACCATCTATATTAGGCAATGATACTCATGGAATAGTTGAGCAGCTTGTTCATAGTATTTCGTCTGTGTCATCTGAAAATCATCGCCAGCTGCTAGAGAACACGGTACTTTGTGGTGGCACTGCTACTTTAACCGGTCAGTTTTGTTCATCTCTTTGTTTAGTTGAATATAATTTGACAAATGCTCATATTTTCCTGTATTTCTTCGTGTCGGTTTGTTACTAAAACTTTTCTTCTTGTTTGGACTTTGGTTGGTTTAATCTCAAATAGTTCAATTTTATTGTATGTATTTGAAAGGCTTTTATTACAGACAGTCCTTTTCTCGTTCAAATTAATGCACTGGGAAGTGTACTATTCCTTTTAAATGTTCCGTTATAGTATTTTGTTTGGCAAGCTTTCGATATTTATCTACTGATACATTTGAGATTGTCTTAATAACAACAAGAACGTAACAACAATAATTGTAACTTGAGGTAGATCAGTTTGGAGTATCACATTGAAGAGAAGTAAAATTTGTTCCTCCTCCCCATCACTACTTAAGCTAACATATATCACGAATGAGTGTAAGGTGAAGAGGGGAACGGATCGTGAGACCCTCTATCAGTCAGTTGGCACGAACGGATTGGTCATGCTCAAACTGCCTCCTTCCTTCTGAAGTTTGCACTGGCCATTTGTAAAGTCTAGACTCTGCTGTTCCTTGGGTCTTGCGGGCTAACATACATATGAATAAAACCTGTATATGGTGGAGCTCTTGGAGAGAAATGCTAGGTGCTTTGAAGACGAACACATTACAGAAGATTAAGCTTGTATATCACTGTCTAGAGAGAAAGAAATGCTAGGTGCTTTGAAGACGAACACATTACAGAAGATTAAGATTGTATATCACTGTCTAGAGAGAGAGAAATGCTAGGTGCTTCGAAGACAAACACATTACAGAAGATAGCTATGTGTCTTTTAATTTATGGTATAAAGAACTTTTTGTAGTTGAAGCAGAGTCGATATTACAGGTCTTAAAGAGTCCTTGTAAGAAGACCAGGATAGATAACTATTTGGATCTTTGTAAATTTGGGTACCAGCATAGCATTTGTGCTGATGAATATACTGTTACCATTTATAAATTAAACCTTTGTGTCGCTCGTGGTTGCAGGGTTTGAAGATCGGTTTCAGAGAGAAGCTACCCTTTGCTCATCAGCAGTTCGTCCTTCGCTTGTAAAGGTATCTTTCTTGTAAATCCCAACTTAGAGGAAAATTTATTGATTTTGTTTTTAATAACCGAGAAATCTGTCTGGAGCCAACCACTCCCCTACCCTTCTCCATTTAAATACTAGACTTAGTTAGCTTAGCACAAGGCTCGAACTTAGGAACACGAGAGAGGTTGTGCTAAGAAGAGCACGAGAGAAGGTAGTGTGATCAGGAACTACGACGTTGCTTCTCTAATCGAGCACGATGACATAACCTACTTATTGAATTTTGATTTTGTGATATTCTTTACAGCCTCCAGAATATATGCCAGAAAACTTGACTTCATATTCAGCATGGATTGGTGGTGCTATACTTGCCAAAGTTGTCTTCCCTCAAAACCAGCACATAACCAAAGCTGATTACGACGAGAGTGGACCTTCTGTTGTTCATCGAAAATGCTTTTAAACGCGACACATTTGAGTACAGTACGCGTTCCATCGACTTCTTGTTTATTGTTAATGCAGTTGCAGTTGCAGTAGTCTTGTACAATTTCTTAGTTTAAAACTAAGAGGCTTAACTTCAGTTGATAGTCTCATCTTGGTTATTTTGCAAGGGATTTTATTTTATTTTTTAATTTTTGGCAACCACCTTATGAGAGTGGTATGAGGATTGAACCTATTCATCGTTAACCAGAGATCTCGGATTTTAATAGACTTACTCCGTGTATTCTGAATAGTTTCGGAAGTTCTTTTTTTTGCTTTTTTACATAGTATGATTCTAATTATTTTTTACAATGGTAAGAGAGGGTTGATTTTAATAGAGTTACTCCGTGTATTCTGAATAGTTTCAATTTTTTTTTTGGCTTTTTTACCTAGTATGATTCTAATTATTTTTACAATGGCAAGAGAGGGTTGATTTTAATAGAGTTACTCCGTGTATTCTGATTAGTTTCGGATTTTATTTTTTTTTGTCTTTTTTACCTAGTATGATTCTAATTATTTTTACAATGGTAAGAGAGGGTTGATTTTAATAGAGTTACTCCGTGTATTCTGAATAGTTTCGATTTTTTATTTTTTTTTGCTTTTTTACCCAGTATGATTCTAATTATTTTTACAATAGGAAGAGAGGGTTTATTTTAATAGAGTTACTCCGTGTATTCTGAATATAGTTTCAATTTTATTTTATTTTTGCTTTTTTACATGATTCTAATTATTTTCACAATGGTAAGAGAGGGTTGAATATAACTTTTGATATTCAAAATAATCAAAATTTATACAAAATTGAAAGTTAATTACTTTCATTTCTGCAAAAAAAATAAAAATAAAATAGAAATTTCTATAAGATCAATTTTTTTTTCTAAAAAATATTAATCAACTCCTTTATATCAATATAAGAAGGATTAATTGGAGTTTGATAATCTTGATTATCACTTTCATCATCATCCAACATTATCACATCATCTTCAAGTTCTTCATCTCCATCTTCTAGTTGAGTTTTTTCTTCTGCGTATTGCTTTCTTCGTTTTGTTTTAATCCAATCTTCAACACACACTAGCATTTTCGCTGTACTCCTGGACAATGACCGAATCCGCATCCTTTCTGACGTGACAGTTGAAACAACTGGAACACTGAACACATCTCGAACCATTTTTATCATAACTCGATTAAATGTCTGATCTATCCTTCCACTTTGCAAAATACTAATATTAGTAGATTCACCATGTTGGCTCACATAAGAATCAAACTCACTTGCTTTTTTTAAACCTATTAACTTATCCACACAATAATCTAGAGAATCTATATCTTTAGGTTTAGAAATATTTAATTTTTTATCATTATCTTTTTTTAATTGCTTATAATAATTAAATAATGCTTCAGTATTTGAAAATAAACTAGATTTAGCATCTTCCAAATTTGGTTTTACTTCCTCACCAATACTTAATAATTCATATAATCCTCTTGTAAATTCTTTTGCATAAATTAATTTTAAATCAAGATTTAATACAGCAGAAATTTGAAAAATAGGTGGCATAGGAATAAAATATTTTTTGAATTTTTCTTTTATTGGAATATAAATTTCATTATCCTTATATTTAGAAAGTAGATAAGCAAAATTAGTAATATGACTTAAAATATTACAAATATTAGGATCAGAATTACTAAAAAATTCTTTAATAGTTTTATGAAATCTTGATAAAATTTTTACAATAATTTCAATAATATCCCAATCTGAATCAATTAAAAAATCAGCAGAATTTTTTTCAATATAATTATTATATGTAACAGAAATTGGCTCCCTATATTTATATGCAACATTTAACATAATATATAAAGAATTCCAATTTTTAGAAGTGTCTGTTGATATTTTTTTAGGTTTAAGGTTAAAATCGTTGCAATTTTTTCTAAATTCTTTAATTTTTGTTTTTGAATTATTTTGAAAAATAAATAGTATTGCTCCTCTAATTTTGTACTAAAAAGATCAATTATATCATGTACAATTAAATTAAAAATTTCACATACATAATTAACATGAAAATTTCCATTTAAAGGTGGTATAGATTGTATTTCTAAAGCTGAAATATCATTAAAAAAATTATTATTAGAAGAAATACACATAATTTTATTATTAAGACCAAAAAATGTCAAAATATCTCTAATTGATGCAACAATAAAATTACTATTATTTTTATCTTCAATAAAACGACAAGCAATAATACGATTTTCCATTAACCAATCAGAATTTATCCAATGACACGTAACAATTAAATAATCTAAATTACGAACATCACGACAAATATCAAGTGCAAGAGAAACTCTACGATCGAGTTTCGAAAAATAAAAACGTAAATATTGTTGATATTGTGTATAAAAATTCGAAATGTCGTTTAAACGAGTTATTCTAGGAATACCATTAATCAAACGATTGGAATAAAATCTATTGATATATGCATTAAAATCTTTAGGAGAAGTAAAATGAAGAGTTTTTTCACTAGCTATTGATTTTATAATTTCTTTTTTGTATTTCTTTCTAACACGAAATAATTTTCTATTATTTAAATCATCGTCAATAATTTTTTTCATACCAGAAACCCTCTTACATTCTCCTTCCTCCTCACTCGATACACTTTCGCGATTATTCTTATGCCCTCCTTTAAACATACCTTTACTCGACGACATAACAACAAAACTAACAAAAATTCAATACGTTAAAATAAAAAGTAATAGATACCGAAAAGTCGTATCAAGTCAAAACCAGATAGCCGCAAATAAACTTAAAAGAGAGATGATTTGAGAGAGAGAAAGTGAGTGTAATAAAATGAAATATTTTTTTGGGTATTTATAATTGGGATTTTTGGTAAGAAAATATATCCGTTATTGGGCCGTTGCCCAACGGCTAGTTAAGGCCCTGTAAGGAATATGGATAATTGTGCCGGGCCTGACGGGATATTAATGGGCTGGGCCGGTTCCGGTTCCGGTACCGGTACCGGTTCCGGGTTAGGGGTAAAATTGTAAAGTGAACAGATTAGGGTTTTTTTTAGCGATCCCATTTATATAGTACTGCCTCTTTGTTATTCCATTTGTCTTCTCCTTCAGCAGCAGCAGCAGCAGGAATAGAAGCAAAACCCGAATTTGAAGACCTAATCATGGTGGGTTTGTGTTCTTTTTGTGTTTTACATTGTTGAATTTACTGTATGCTTGTTCATTTTGTTGTGATGTTTTGATTTTAGATGAGTTTTTGATGAATGAAGTGTTGTTGTAGTTTTTTTTTTTGAAACTAGTTTGTGTTGTTTGAGGTTAATGTTTGAGGTTTGGGATGGGATTTGTTGATTGTTAGGTCATTCTGTGATTAAAGTTTGTTTTTTTTCTCTGTTTTTTGGGTTTGTTCAAGTGTTGGTTTTTCTGGTGTAACCTAATTTTGTATAGGTGCTTGTGGAATTAGTAATTTTCTGTTAATAGAAAAGCTAAAGCTCGAGTGTTGAAGGGTTTGGTTTAGTGGTAAGAGCTTAGGTGGTGATGGGTCATAGGTGAGTTTAGTGGTTGATGCAGGTTTGTGGCTTGAAGTATAGTGTCTAAATGGTGAGACCTTAGGTGGTGATGGGTGAGTTTTGTTGTTGATACTGGTTTATGGCCAAAAGTGTAGTGTCGTAAGTGGTGGAGGGATGAGAGGGGGCTCGTAATTCGTCGAGTTTTGAACTGTGAGCTACTGAATCTTTTGGTGTTTTCTGTTGTGAAAGCCAATCCTGATGTGTGGAGATATTAGATTCTTTTGGTGGTGCTTGAAGTGTTAATTTTCTGGGAGTTTTTTCGTGAATAGTAAAGCTATTCTTGAGCCTCTGGAGTTCTGACCTGGTGGTTAGAGCTTAGGTGCTGATGGATTGGCTAGGCTCTTGTTTTGCGAAAGCATGGTATCTAAGTGGGAAAGGTTTGCTTTTGCTGACAGAAATTAAAGTGGAAAAGGCATGTCGGTGGACTCATTGTCCACTGAGTTGAACCTCTAGGAATTTTCTGTTACGAAAAAGAAGCCTTCATGTATTGAATACATAATGTGGATATATTAGATTCTTTTAGTGGTGGTTGAAGCGTTACTTAATCCATGATTTTAGCCCTCTTTTAGCTGCTACTGAAGCAACTTGTTTTTAATCCCCTCTAGATTCCCCTGATTTCTTTCTGAACTTTTTCAGTTCCCAGACTCTTAATTAGCAGTGTAAGAGCTCACCGTTTTGCTTCTTTACTTTTGTAACTACTTTGCATCTACTTGATCCCAACAATAGAGTTGATTTCTTCATTAAAAAACTGGATTTCTTCGTGCTCATGTGTGTGTTTGCTAGATAATCTTGGTATATGTTGAGCAGTTAGGGGAATGTGGATAAAGCTACTTAACTTCTAGTTGCTATTAGATCTCGTATTGATTTAAGAAATGAAGTTTGAAGATTTGATTATAGCTTATATGTTGATGAATGTGATTCCTTGTTATCTTTTTCCTTGCTTTATCCTACATACATTAGTTCTTACTTGTTGTTAGGCTGTCAAACATTTCATGTTCACTGCCATTTGATTTGTTGAGGTTGTGTATGTAACTTGCTTAGAACTACTTTGCTGCAAATTTCTATCCTTGTGTGTAAATTTTTAACTGAACCCTTTTTTGGTTTCAGCCGAAGCAAATCCACGAGATCAAGGATTTCCTCCTAACAGCAAGGAGGAAGGATGCACGATCTGTCAAGATCAAGAAGAACAAGGATATGGTTAAGTTCAAGGTTCGCTGCTCCAAGTACCTTTACACACTCTGTGTGTCTGACTTTGAGAAGGCTGACAAGTTGAAGCAGTCACTTCCTCCAGGTATATACTTATCTTTTGGTGCTTTCACTTTAGTTAAGTTGTCCACTTGACTAGTGTAATTGCTCTATAATTGCTACTTATCGATGATCATGACTCATTGTTTTGAGTATTACTTTGATATGTAGGTTTGAGCGTCCAAGACCTTTGAAGATGGAAGAGTTAATGTGTCCCCTTCCCCCTAGATTGATTAGAAGATACTCGAGAATTCGTAGAACTATTATGTTCCTTTACCATTTTCTTATCCTGTCGAATATCTAAAGTTTTGTTCATTCTAGATATTGTGTTGCCCCCTTTGACTTCATTTTGAACCCTTTATGGTGTTGACAAGAAATTTTGGTGTTTTGATGTCGAAATTTTAGTTGATTTGCCTGAATTCAGTTTCCTTGGTATATAATACTTTGGTTCAACATAGGAAACAAGGTTTAAAATATGCAAAAATGTTATTATTCGTTTTTGAACATGTAACCTTTAAGTTAAGTTG